CGACTGGTACAGTATACTGAACATATAATAGGATCCTACCAAAGAGGCTTTTTAAAAACAGATCTACCATTGATCACATATCCATTAGACAAATATTAGAAAAAACGACGAAGTACGACATAGACAGACACCAGTTATATTCGGCTATTGTAAAGTGCGGGTCAGTTCGCGAATGTAAAGTGCGGGTAAAAGGGGATCTTTTAGAACCATTTACAACCAACAAAGGACTGCGCCAGAGAGATGCGCTATCATGCGCACTGTTCAACCTAGCATTAGAAAAAGTTATGATAGATTCGGGAATAGATATAAAGGGTACGATATATACTGTAGTATACAAATAATGGCATATGCTGACGATGTGATCATTGGGAAAACCCAAAATGAATTAGTTGAAGCAAAAACGCCGTAGATAACATCGGAATTCTGATAAGCACCCAGAAAACTAAATATATTGCCGGCTATATCAAGAATGTAACTAAAGGGTAGAAGAATTCTGCTATTTAGGGTTACTGGTAGAGAAAAACAACAAATCCAAAGAAACAAGAAAAAGAATATGCGTGTCTAACCGCTACTATTTTGGCTTAGGCCCTCAATTAAGAGAGAGAAATATGTCAATAGCTACAAAGTGCAAACTTTATAAAACAATAATACGCCGAGTGTTCATTTACGATCGTAACAATGGGCAAATTACTAAGAATCATTGAAAAAAAAAAAAAGAATTGAGGTCCGTATAATTTCGAAGACAAACCTATGATAAAGATCGAAGGGACAGAGATAGAACACGTAGATGAATATACATATCTGGGTCAAAATGTCAAAGTAAGCAAAGAAAATCAGACTACCGAAATAAGCAGACGTGTAAAAATGGGATGGGCAGCATTCGGAAGACTTTCATACGTACTTAAAAATAAAAATGTACCTCAAAGACTGCGAACCAAAGTGTTTAATTCCTTTATCCTACCTGTACTTACATATGGAGCTTAAACCTGGACATTCACTAAAATAAACATGGAGAAGATCAGAAAAACTCAGAGAGCTCTGGATCGACAGATGCTGGGTATCTCACCCAAAGACCATAAAACCAATGAAGACATTCGTAATAGAACAAAAGTAAAAGATGCTGTCGAACAGGCAGCTAAACTGAAATGGAAATGGGCTGGACATAACGAACTTCTTACAGATGGCCGATGGAATAAAGAAATCGGAAATTGGCGGCCATATGAAGCCGAAAGACCACGAGGAAGACCGCAGATGCGATAAAGCGACGAAATTAAAAGAACTGCAGGGCCAATGTGGAAACGTCTTACAAACAACAGAGATGAATGGCAAGAATTAGGGGAGGCCTATATTCAGCAATCCGAATAGAGAAAAGGGATTAAAAAAATAATAATTTCGAACTCTAGACTTTTTGGTGATGCAGGTATCGTGAAAACCATAAAAATAAACCGCCTAAGATAGGTGGGACACATTATGCGGATGGATGAAAGTTATCCTGCTAAAATATTAAAGCTATATAGGCCAGTCAAAAGAAGAAGGAGGAAGCGACCTAAACTCAGATATGTGGACGATGTGCAGGACGATTTAAGGGATATTGAAGAAATGGGATGGAGAAGACACTGGACAGGAAAGGATGGAAAAATGTTCTGAGGCAGGCCAAGGCTCATGAAGGGCTGTAGCGCCAACCGATGATGATAATGAGGGTATAGTATATCAAAAGTAATTATGGCGGAAACAGTCCGAGCTTTGATAATGTAAATAGAGCTACTATAGTTGACACAGCTGTACAAAACTAAAATTAGGTTGTACAAAACTTTGACAATTCCGTTGTCACCTTCACTGCTAAATCCTGATACAAGAGAAAGACAGATAGATTTTTGAAAGAAAAATACTTTGAACGATCTACGGGTCGGGGAGGGAAGGTACTTTTAGGACGATAATTTTGTTTGTAAAGCTGAGAAGAAAGATTCTAGAGAAGTTGAGACAATATTAAAAACGGATATAAAATGTTTAGTGAAATTGAGACTTTCCTTAATTCCTAAATTGTTTTTACCACACACAAAACATATCTTTATTTTGCTTTAAACAGTGTAAAAACTTTTAGAGAGGGTAGACAGAAAGGCATTCATGCCATTTAGACTCGTAATACGCTGTCCTTGATAAAGTGAATTAAATAAAGTTGTTTCCGAAAAACAAGAAATTAAAATTTTAGTGTACATAATTCGAAACACCCATCTGCTTAAATTTTTTGCCATTCAAGGTAGATGCGGCCTCTGTCTACTTTTGTATGCATGTATGTAGTTAAAACTATGGATAAGTGACCTGCCTTTCCGCCTTCGAGTTTGCCTATCTGATGAGCATAAAGTAGGTGAAAACATTTCCTAGTTTGGCGAGACTAAAACTTTTAGATCTGTAGATCTTTTTAGATAAAAAGGAAAATCATTCATGCCTTAAAAAAATGCCTAATACCATTCCTTTTGTTTTGTTAATAGTGTTAATAGTGACAATAGTGAGTGCATTAATTTAAAAACTTTTTATTTGAACAAGAGTAAAATTGCAAACAAATTATTTCAATATTGTTCTGAAGCTATTTTCTTGTGGCATTGTAAATTAATTACTATTAAACTGGGAATAAGCCACAATTAAAGATAAAAATACGTTTATTGACGTTTCAATTTCCACTTCGGAAATCGTTCTCAAAATACAAACAGTAAATTAAACAAATTTTGTTTTTTGTTACATAGTGAAAAATTCTTCTAATAATTTAATTTTATTTCAGACATACATTATGCATTTTAAAGTAGACGACTTTAAAATGATATTGCCAATATTGTTGAGTTGCGCTCCTGGGACGACTTTACTTATAAGATAGTTCATTCGATTACATGAAATCAACTTTAACTTGAGAATATCCGTCAGAAAAAAATCATAGCATGTAATTCGTCTTTAAAAAGACAAACACATGACATGATGACAGTAAAATTCTCCTGTTAGTGATTCCATAGTAAATTATGAGGGAAAACCATGAAAAAACCTCATAATACTATCCCGACATTGTAAGTATTTGTTCGTGAATTTAGTTTACCTTCAACAAACATCAAAATTCTGATTTTATATGTTACGTTATTTAAAAAACATAAATGATGTATCCTCTATATGTTACTGACTTACTAATACTGGCATTTTCTTATTATTAACTTCCTCTTTCAATATTGGTAACCAGATCCTACTACATTCTGCCGAAGAATTTGCGACACAATTGGCCTCATTTAACATAATTAGAGCCGCTTCTTTGATTTTTCTTTTTTTACCATCCGTTTCTTTTAGGACTACATTTGAATTACTCCATTGAACCCTATGTTCATTATCCCATGCGTGTTTACAGATTTGAGATCTATCAAATTCTTTATTTTTAATATAAGATTGATGTTCACTTATTCTAACATTTAATGGCCTTGATGATTCACCTTAATAAAACTGATCGCATTCACAAGGTATTTTATAAATGCAATTCTTTGTCCTTTCTTGTTCATTGTTAGGTTTGATTTAAAATGATTATCCTTTATCGTTTATAAATAAGGAATTTTCAACAATCGATCGAATAGAACAGAACAACTTAGAACGAGATCCTACAGCATACACAAGGAATAATATGAGGAAAATAACAATACCGTACATAAAAGGACTATCAGAAAAACTTAAAAGGATAGGAAATAAATTCAACATTTCAACAACATTCAAAACAACATACACATTGAGATCTATTTTGTCCAAAACCAAACCTAACAATGAACAAGAAAGGACAAAGAATTGCATTTATAAAATACCTTGTGAATGTGATCAGTTTTATTTAGGTGAATCATCAAGGCCATTAAATGTTAGAATAAGTGAACATCAATCTTATATTAAAAATAAAGAATTTGATAGATCTCAAATCTGTAAACACGCATGGGATAATGAACATAGGGTTCAATGGAGTAATTCAAATGTAGTCCTAAAAGAAACGGATGGTAAAAAAAGAAAAATCAAAGAAGCGGCTCTAATTATGTTAAATGAGGCCAATTGTGTCGCAAATTCTTCGGCAGAATGTAGTAGGATCTGGTTACCAATATTGAAAGAGGAAGTTATTAATAAGAAAATACCAGTATTAGTAAGTCAGTAACATATAGAGGATACATCATTTATGTTTTTTAAATAACGTAACATATAAAATCAGAATTTTGATGTTTGTTGAAGGTAAACTAAATCCACGAACAAATACTTACAATGTCGGGATAGTATTATGAGGTTTTTTCCTGGTTTTCCCTCATAATTTACTATGGAATCACTAACAGGAGAATTTTACTGTCATCATGTCATGTGTTTGTCTTTTTAAAGACGAATTACATGCTATGATTTTTTTCTGACGGATATTCTCAAGTTAAAGTTGATTTCATGTAATCGAATGAACTATCTTCTAAGTAAAGTCGTCCCAGGAGCGCAACTCAACAATATTGGCAATATCATTTTAAAGTCGTCTACTTTAAAATGCATAATGTATGTCTGAATTGTCAATATAAATGAGTCAGATAAAATTAAATTATTAGAAGAATTTTTCACTATGTAACAAAAAACAAAATTTGTTTAATTTACTGTTTGTATTTTGAGAACGATTTCCGAAGTGGAAATTGAAACGTCAATAAACGTATTTTTATCTTTAATTGTGGCTTATTCCCAGTTTAATAGTAATTAAATTATTTCAATTGTATCAATTTTAAACATCACGTATCATAACATCACATCATAATCTCAATAAAAAGTATTTATTAAATTATATTAAGTAATTGAAGTACATATTTATTGATATTATACCGTGGACCGCGTACGATATGATAAAACACTTAACAAGTTTAATAAAACAAAATTATATTATTTAATTAAGCAATTAAGTTATATCATAATCATTTGTAATAATTTGTTTATAGTTATTGTTATTATATACTATAAATATGGAAACAACTTACGGTTATCTTTTGGAACTGGAATTGGTCTTTGTTCCTAAAAAAATATAAATATAAAAATTAATATACAGAATTTTACGTTGTAATTGAGAGAAAAAAATAGTTTATCATTCGAAAAAAATTTAGGTCCGAAAGGTTTTAGAATAGTAAAACAAATGTAAAATTAGGAAAATTAAAAATTCGCTAGATCAGGACAAACTTGACAGATGATAAGAATATAAAAAAAAATCAGGAATTTTGAAAAAAAAAATTTCTAGTCATCTATCTCTAATATAAAAAGTGTTAGGAATCTCTTTTTTATAAGAAAAGCGTTCAAAAATAAACTAATTACTATAGCAAAGTCTGGTTAACAAAAAAGGTCGAAAAAATTTTCGCCGATTTTTTCGCCTGAAGCTTTTAAGACCTAGGTGGGAGTTACTAGATGACGAATAGATGAAAAAGTACTCGTATTTTTACCTTGCGTTTTTTTTTAATTAATTTATGGTCACAATTTGATTTTTTGTCTATAAGTTTTTTCCCTTATATTTAACATAAACAATATTTATAATATAATGATAGTATCATTTTTTATATCAAGAATCTCATTATTTTCCCGCTTTTTAAATTAAAATTGATAAATAATTTACTGAGATATTTGCAAAAAAGCAGTTTTTTTGCATTAATTTATATGTATTATTAATTTTTTTATTAACCAAATAAAATGTTACATTTGAACCTCGAGGAATCATAGTTTTTTTAAGTTTGTGCGAAATTTTTACCCGATCGGTCAAATAGTTTAAAAGTTATTTAATGTATTTATCCCTGGGGCTAAATATTTAAACTATTGGACTTGCTCTATTAATAATGTTAGACATTTTAGCTACTTTCATAGGATTCTTTAAGACTTAAACTATCTCAGAAATTAAATGCATATTGCGTTTTCATCGAAATTATTTACAAAATAAACGTTTGAAAAAGAGATACGTTTTTAACTTATAAACAATTGTAATAACTTCTATATTTTTCAAGCTAGAAGCACCAAAAAACAGGAAGACTTAGACCTATATAGAGCGAAAAACAGAGAGGTAAAGGAAAGAGTAACAAATGAAAAGAACGAACAAGCATGCACAGAGATAGAACGACATATCGGAGGAACGAGAAATTCAGAATCATGGCGAATATTAAAAGTACTCCAACGAAATACTCTAATAATCAACTGTTACAACTAATTATGCAAGGAAAGATTGAAGGTAGGCGCAGCATAGGTAGGAGAAGAATGTCGTGGTTGAGAAACCTCAGGGAGTGGTTTGCTTGCACTTCCATACAATTGTTCCGAGCGGCAGCCTCCAGGGTCAAAATTGCCATGATGATAGCCAACCTTCGTAGCGGAGATGGCACGTGAAGAAGAAGAAGAAACGAAATAAGACAGAGAATCTCCAGATCGGCAAAATTAGTGAAAACGAGTGGCAAGAATACTACGTACAACTACTTACAGAAAACCATCCCCAATTTGAGGAAGAGAATACAGAACATGCAGGAAATGGGACATACGACCAGATAGAAATAAGTCTGACAGAAGTCAAGAGAGCAATCAAGACACTGAAGAACAAAAATGCCAAAGGACCCGGAGAGATACCAAACGAACTAATTAAAAACGGAACGGAAAAGTTATTCCGCATGCTACACAGAATGTTCGAAAGAGGACTAAATGGAGAGGAAATACCTGCGGAATGGACACAAGCATACATCACATCCATACATAAGAAAGGAAACAAAAAATGTGAAAACTACAGAGGAATTAGTATAATATCGTCGGTAGGTAGACTACGGGAAAATTATCAAGGAAAAACTAGAAACTGAAATAATAGGAAAAATTGGAGAAGACCAAGCAGAGTTCACAGTAGGAAAATCATGCCTAGATCATACGTACACATTAGAACAACTGATAGAGAAGAAAATGGCAAAAGGTAGACCAGTCCATCTGGCATTTGTTGATCTAAAGAAAGCATACGACTCAATACCTAGAGTCAAATTATGGGAAGCAATGAATGATCTCGGAATCCGATAAACACTAATAAAAGCAGTTAAAGCACTGTACAAAGAAAACAAAGTAGCTATTAAATGTGGAAATAAAGCCTACAATCCATTTTAGACGACAAAAGGACTTCTACAAGGCTGTGCTACGTCCCCTACCCTGTTTAAAATATTCTTGGAAAAGACACTCAAACCATGGAGGAGAAAGTGCGAAGGAATGGGCATACCAGTAAGAGGCAAATACCTATACACCTTAAGTTTTGCCGACGATCAAGTAGTCATCGCATAAGATGAAGAAGATCTCAGCTTTGTGCTCAGAAAACTAGAAGAAAAATATAAAAACAACGGAATGGAAATAAACTTAGAGAAAACCGAATAACTAACAACAGAAAACAAGGATATGAGAAACCTAGAGATAGACGAGGGAAGACAAGTAAATGGAACAGATAAATTCAAGTATTTAGGAACCATATTATCGAACCAGACAACAACAGAAGAAGAAATAAACAACAGACTAAGACAAACAAGAAACTGTATAAGACAACTAAATTCAGTGCTGTGGGATAAGAACATTACGATAAAGACAAAAAAGAGAATATATAATACCCTGACAAGAAGTATCCTGACATATGGGTCCGAAAACTGGACAATAAACAAGAGAAATAGATGTAGAATAAGAGCAGTAGAAATGGAGTTCCTGAGGAGAAGCTGTAGACTTACAAAAAGAGACAGAATTGAAAACGCAGAGATTAAGCGGAGAATGGGAGTGCAATCAGACATAATCGACTATATAGCGGAGAAGAGACTATCCTGGTACGGCCACGTCAGAAGAGCGGACAGAGGACGCTGGATAAACAAAATTACAGAATGGAGCCCGGTCGGAAGAAGATAGAGAGGAAGACCCCGAAGGTCATAAGACGAAATCGACGACGCTATGGAGAAAAGAACCCTGCGAGATGGAGACTGGAATGACAGGGAAAATTGGAGAAAACGGTTGAGTGAAGGAAGACAGTGAAAACTGTGGAAATCCTTAGTAGTAGTAGTAGACTTGTACGTACAACCATTGGATAACTGGTAAAAAAACGCACATGAAATAAACTTTTTATGACCAATAGAAACGAAGTTAGGGACTATTTTTAAAAAAATCATCTCCATTGTTTATAAATAATAAGAAGTAAAATTTGCGCAAATTTTGAATGAAAATCTAAGCTTCATATGAAACTTATAGCTATAAAATTCATCCAATTTTTCGAAACATACAGCCCTTTGAAACGAAGGTACTTTCGAAAGATCGACATAGGAAAGTGGAGGGGACATCAGTTTCCGCTCTGTTTTTTTTTTCGAGATCGGAACTTTAAATTGAAACACGTAGGAAAAATTTACGTTATCTCAGCTTCCATTGCAGCTAGAATCCTCTTTTTTCATTCTGGGGTAGCACGTCGAAATATGAATAGCTACATAGTTTTCACTTGCAAGGAAATATGAGAAACCTTGGAAAAATTGAGTACATTTGAAATTCGCCGTAAAAACTTACTTTTTTAATTTGGCTGGAATAGTCTGTCGCAGTATTAATAATGATGACATAATTTTCACCCCCTCCATCCAGAAATCTCGGAAAATCCCGGAAAATCGTATTATTACATATAAAGATCCAAATTTAAAAAAAAGTTAGTTTTTACTGTTAATTTCAAATGGACTCAATTTTTCTGAGGTTTCCCATATTTCACGGCCAGTGAAAACTATACAGATATATTTCGATGAGCTACCCCAGATTAAAAAAAGAGGCTTCTAGCTGCAATGAAGGCCGAGATAATGTAAATTTTTCCTACGTGTTTCAATTTGAAGTTCCGATCTCGAAAAAAAAAAACGGAGTTGAAACAGTTATCCCTTCCACTTTCCTTTGTCGATCTTCCGAAAGTACCTTCGATTCGAAGGGCTGTAAGTTTCGAAAAATTGGATGATTTATTTTTTATTTAGCGTATGGTAATTTGATAGACAACATTATCACATATGTATATGTTACAATCTAACATCTAATGTATTAATATATTCAATCGACGCTGGTGTTGGATGATTGGATGAATTGGAGGATTGGATGAATTTGAATTGGATGAAATCGATGATTTTTGCATAACCAGACTGGGCTACTATGAGAAAGCAGTATTTCAACCTTGTCAAGTCTCCTCAGAGCGACTTTGCAGAAGCTCTGGATTGAAAATAAATATCTCCCGTTATAAAAGATTTCTTACTTGGCAAAAGATATATGCCTACTGTACTTTCTACAATATATAAAGCAGATAGGTTGATGAATTAGCCCACAAGAGTAAAAATCCTTCACGAATTAGTTTCTAGTACTCACGAACATCAGTAAATAAATAAAGCAGAGAGACTTACAGAGTTTGAGATTTAATTACAATGCCGAGCTCCTGCCATCCGCTTATATGTATTTCGACCTTAATTCGCTTTCTTTCTCCTATATTTATTTACTCATTCGTAAGTACTAGAAACTAATTCGTGCAGGATTTTAGCCGTAGTAGATTGACAGGTCGTGGAATGCAAATTGTAGATTCCCCTTGTCCGTAAATTCATCAATATGTGTGATTCGTATATTGTAGAAAGCAGAAAGAAGCTCTTTTCTTGTGGCATTTTAAAGTAATTACTATATAAATGGCAATAAGCCACAATTAAAGGTTAAAGTATGTTTATTGATGTTTATTAAAGGTTAAAGTACGTTTGTACGTTTCAATTTCCACTTCGGAAATCGAAACGAAAATGGACAAGGCAAAACAAAAATGCGATTAATGAAAGAGCATGACTAAAACAACCACCACTCTTTGGGAACTTAATAAGGAACGGAAATAAATAAATATAATAAAAAAGACAGCAAATATTTGTTTTCACGCAAACAGCGCCTATGTGTCTGTTGATACGTATTTCGACCTAATAGGTCTCATCAGAACAGTTATTCATAGGTGTTCTCAACGTGAAAGATCAATATTTTCTGTCTCTTAAGAAGCAAAGCAA